CGCCCTGGATCTAGTCTTCCAGTCAGTCAATGTAGGCAAAACATAATTTTCTTTACACACAGTGCAGAAGTAGTCCTGCTCTGGTTGTTTATGGACCCTTTTATTAGTTAGGACTTTTTTCCGTCAATGTTGGATGGTCCAGGCGTGGTTTCTAGTTCAAGAGCCACTTTCTTCTTAGCAGAGGCTACATAAGGCTTCATTTACTGCTCCAACTTTACAAGAGTGCTGGTCAGTACTTCTGCGTTTTGTGTCTTGCATCCTCTATTATTCCTCTTCTTTACTTCTATCGGGATGCATCTTACGTTTTGAAGAATATCAGGATATATCGGCCAATGCAGAACCCTCTGTATTTTCTAATTCCTCTTCAGAGGCTTTAGGAGACAGTTCAATGCGTGATGGTTCTGCAATAGGAAGCTTGTTTTCTTTCGAATAGCTCTGTGAGTTAGTCTGTGGTACATCCTTTCAATAATAATAATAATAATTAATTATTTATTTGCCTCAAATCTTTTAACAATTAAATGGAACCCTGGCTGCTAAACTAGTTGCAATAACTGTATCTTATAAACAAGTGTCTTCCCCTATTAGTGGTACAATTACAATAGATTCTGGCGACTTAAGAATAATTAGGGTTCAGTTAATAATTAACTAACATGCAGTAAATGAAAAACAAGTAATGAGAAAAAAATGCCGCGTGGATAGTAGTCGTGTGCGTGCGTGCAAGCGTGGTGTGTGTGTGTGGCGTGTGTGGTGTTGGGGGGGTGGGTGGTGGGTGTGTGTTGTATCTTTTGCAGAATATTTTGAGTGCAGCACTCTTTGAGTATTCAACTATACGCGTTAATTCTTTAACAAAAAGTTTCTCACTTTCAGGGGGAGGCGAGGAAAACACACAACTGTATACTTCACTACAAATGCTTAATTGAATTTCTTCACTATACACGCACACTACAGCATTTGTGTTTGTGTTCATTGCATTTACGCATACTATCAAATTGTACACGTGTCGATACACTGGTATCGCATCGCTGTCTACATGTGTAAGCAATGTAGGGCGAAGAATATGTCGATATTTTTATCGATAAACAAATCATCATAGTCTGCATAAGTTCAGTATTGGTAAAAGTGATTATTAGTGTTTTTTAATTCATCACAGCCCTTCACAAGTCCACTGCTGAACGTAGGGCTTCCCCAAGGAATGACACAAAACAAGGTCCTGAGCCACTTGCATCCATCGACTTCCTGTATGTCTTAATGGGTCGTCACTCTATCTAGTGTGGTGTTGCTCTGCATTTCGCCCATCGGTACGAGGCTGCCACTCGAAAACCTTTTTTCCCTATCGATTATCGATTCTTCGAGCTATATGGCTCCATTGCCACTTCAGCTTACTAATCCGATGGGCTATGTCGGTCACTCTTGTTCTACTGCGGATATCCTCATTTCTAAGTTTATCACGCAGGGAAACCCCGAGCATAGCCCTCTCCACAGCTCGCTGAGCGACCTTGAGCGTCCTCATACGGTCAGCAGTGAAGGACCATGTCTCAGATCCGTAAGTCATCACTGGCAATACGCACTGGTTGTACAGTCTCGTTTTCAGGTTTTGAGATACACCTGACGAGATGTGTCGTAATTTCCTGAACACTGCCCAGCCGAGTTGAATCCGTCGATTGACTTCTCGGTCGAAGTTGAACTTACCTAGTCGGACCATTTGTCCCAGGTAAGCATACTCGTCAACACCTTCGAACTTAGTGCTCCCAACAACTACCAGCATAGGTGTGATATGGACATAAAACTTGATCTTTGTTTTGTCCATGTTCATCTTAATTCCTATCCATTGGGAGACCTTATTGAGGTCATTGAGCATAGTACTTAGGCCCTCCAGTGTTTCTAACATAAGGACTATATCGTCGGCAAATCGAAGGTGAGTGATGTACTCGCCATTGATGTTAATACTGTATCCTTTCCAGTCCAGTAGCTTGAAAATGTCTTCCAATGCAGCGGTGAAGAGTTTCGGAGATATAACATCACCCTGTCATACACCTCTCTGCAGTTGTATAGGTTTCGTACTCTGGTTCTGTACTTGGATAGCCATCGTAACCTTACTATACAAACACTTCAGCTCTTCGATGTACCGACAGTCAACTTGGCATCGCTGAAGGGACTGTAGCACCGCCCGAATCAAAGGCTTTCTCATAGTCCACATACGCCAGGCAAAGTGGCAGATTGTACTCTTCGGTCTTCTGTACAATCTGCCGCAGGGTTTGTATGTGGTCTATGGTACTGAAGCCGTTTCAGAAACCGGCTTGTTCGGGAGACTCGAAGTCGTCGAGTCTGCCAAACTCCTTTTTAAAAGGCTGGCAACTCCCCTGGTGTTGCAGTTGCTCATGGGCGGCGGTAATCACTTACCATCAGGTGAGCCGTATGCTCGTTTACCCCCTCTCCTATAAAAAAATGGAGGAAGGAATTGAAGAGCTTCTGAAGGATTTTAAGTACCGGTGTTCCACCCGCTTTCAGAAGCTCCGCTGTAATTCAATCCTCACCCGGGGACTTCAGACACTCAGTCTTCAGCTTTGACAATTGGGTCTTTCTGGCAGTCAGGTCTCAGGCAAAGGCTTTGGAGCCCTGGATGCGCTCGATCGCTTCTTCAATACGAGCAGTATTAAAGTTGCGTAAGTCTCGCCGCATGCATTTGGAGATCTGTCTGTTCAGTTGCCTGTATTCTGTCAAATCTACTGACGACTTCAGCTTCATCTCCTGTCTAACAGCCATGAGATTAAGAGTGTGATCAGAGAGTTTTTGTGTTCTGCGGTCGGTCTTGCAGAACTTTACTCCGACCGCATGGACAGTTTCTACGAGATTGTCATTCATATCGTCCACTGCATTGCAATCTTATAAGCATTGAAAACGGTTTTGTAACTCGAGCTTAAAGGTTTCGGGACTCTGGATTAGAACTCGAGGGGGATGGAGCGTTGACTTCATTAGACGAGACCTCCAACTTAATGTTTAGGTTTAGTGTGCATCTAACCATTCGGTGATCGCTGCCAGTTTTCAGTTGGCGTCTGGTCGTCATAATGAAGTCAATCTCATTTTTTGTCAAACCGTCGACCAGGTCCACTTTCTGTGGGGCCGCTTCTGGAAGAGAGTTCATCATAAAGAGTCCCTCTTTCTCTATGAAGTCGGCCAGCTGCTGGCCCCTTGAGCCCCCATTCTTTCTTGTGCCGCCTAGCTTTGCGTTGAAGTCTCCCATCAACACCGTATAGTGGGTTTTGGAGAAATGCATGGCTCTAGAAATATCCACATACATTTCCTCCACCTCCTTATCGGGATGTTCCGACGTATAAGAACTACGTAGTGGCAAAGACAATAAAAAAGACAAATGGATATATACGCATACACGCTTATTTGTTAAAGTTACAGCCTATATACGTTTCACTCCTGGGCACAGGCTGTGCTTTTCTGAGAGGGTTTTTAGGGCAAGAAAGTGTTCGCGCTTCTGTCTTCGAAATATTTATTTTTCTTATTTCTCAGACATGCAGGTTTCCTCACGATGTTGTCCTTCACCGCCGAGCACGTGGTAAATCAGTACTTAAAATTGCAATTAACAATTTAATTGGTGCCGGCGGGGATCGAACTCCGTTCGCTCGCGTACTGTGAAATTTACTACGAGCGCTAACCATCTGAGCTACCACGGCTTTATCTATATGTTAAGGGTATTCTTAATTTTGTCTATCCAACTTTTTTCCTCATTGATTCTCTATGTGTCCAAACCACCGAAGCTTCCTTACGTGATCCTGACTTGCGATAGATGGCGATATGAGAATCTCGTTTACTAAAGGCGTACAATACCCAGATCAGCGACGGTTAGCTGGACAGAAGATCTGTCACTGCGATCGTAACTGTGCTTGCCTATTGTGACAGTCAAACAAATCTTTGTAACAGGAGATGCGTATAACCAACAGTGAAACTTTATGGGCTGTCAACAGAAAAGAGGAAAATTTACTTAATGCTGAATTCTAATAAAATATACCGTCAGAGTTAAGTTGAACCTTTTATTAATAAAATATACCGTCAGAGTTAAGCTTTTGTTAATAAAATACTTGTCAAAATATCTTACGTTCCACCTAATGGTAAGTGGCCACTATAGCTCATGGGCTATTAACTTCAAAAAAAAAAAGCTGGAGATGTGTTGGCCTCTGAGGACTAAGGTGGAATGCCTCACAGTCAATAATGGACGGATCCGTACGGTGGTGGCTTGGCAATGAGTTGCGACGCTGGGGGCCGCGGGTACGAATTCCGCACTGAACTAGTTCTTATTTGTATGGCCTACTAATAATTGTTCGATGTCTTTATGTTTGTCCCTATGAAATTTATGTATGTAAACTGCCTCCACTGCCGACATTAAGGGCCGTGGTAACTCAGATAGTTAGCGCTCGTTGTAAATTTCATAGTACGCGAGCAAACCGGGTTCGATCCCCGCCGGCGCCAATGAAATTGTTAATTGCAATTTTAAGTGCTGATTCACCATGTGCACGGTGAAGGAAAACATCGTGAGGAAATCTGCATGTCTGAGAAATAAAAAAAATATTTCGAAGACATGTGAAGTTCGCCAACACGCGCAAGCGCAGTGGACATTTCCATGCCCTAAACCCTCTCAGAAATAAGGGGAGGCCTGTTGCTCAGCAGTGGGACGTATATAGGCAGTAACTTTAACTTTTAATTTAAATTTAATTTAAACATAAACTTTATTTTTTTTAAAAAATTATACTTTCTATACTCTTTAGACCAGCAATAGGAAAGACGGATTGTGATACCGAAGTGGTACCGGTCAAAGTTCTAGACAGAAAAGAAAAGTCTAACCATCTAGTATAAAACTACCAAATTGCTTGTCATGTTTTTAAAATTTTGTTCATATTCACTTGCAGGTTATTAAAAGTTATGCGGTCGCCCATCGATCACGTCGTACGACCCTTGCGCGGCTCGCCGAGAAATATGGGAATTCCTTGTACATGAAGCCAATTGTGAGTAAAATATTCATTCATTCATTCATGTATGGTATTGAAAGTTGGGTGTGGCAGAAAAAGCATGAGAGAAGAATAAATGCAGTAGAAATGCGGTCGCTGAGGAGTATGTCAGGGCTGAATCTGAGTGACAGGGTGAGAAATTGTGTGATAAAAGAAGAGTGTGGTATGCAAGATGATGTTGTGACCAGGATTAAGAAAGGAATGGTTTGGTTATGTAGAAAGAATGAATGAGGAAAAAGTGACAAAGCAAATTTATGTTGCAGAAGTGAATGGAAGAGTCGGGAGGGACGCCCTAGGCGAAAGTGTATCGATCAAATTGGCGATACATTGAAAATGGTCCAAATTAGGAGTACCCGTAACCAACGAGCATGTATGCGTAGATATATGGATGTGAAGGAGGCGAGAGAGGTGTGTCAAGATCGTGCCAAATGGAAGTTTTTAGTCTCTGCCTAGCCCTCTCGGTGCCAGATGTGAGTGTTTATGTATTTATCATTCATTCACTTATCATTCATATATTCATTCATACATTCATTCATTACAGTCAATCAAAAGTCCACCACTGGAAACATGTATCCCCTAGAGATTATTTTATTGGGAGATATTTACTACAGTTGTCACACTCGGCAGTAGAGTGGGCAAGTACAGCTTTTTTTAATTCTGGGTCGTCATGGGAGATGCTGTCGTTGATTTTCTGTTTTATTTCGAGACTTCACTTGAGTCAATGCGCTACTTTTTCCAGGTTTTTAAAAAAAATAGCAGGCAACGAGCATGCGGCTCACATGGGACAGGAAGTGACTATCGCCGCCCATGAACAACTGTAACAGCATAGAAATATCCCTGTTACGTATTTTCGGCTTTTTAAAAAAGAGCCCACTACGTTGGACCGGGGGACAAAAAGGTTTCTGTCCGTCGCCTGTTACAAAATTTACAGGATATTGAGGGGTAGTGGGCACTCTAATGAAAAATAATGAATAAACTACGTTTTACATAATGATTTCTTATATTTACGCGCACACAAAAAGAATTTGTCTCCTTTTACATAGATGAACAGTCAGACTCGGAACTATTAATTATAGACCAAACAAACTATACATATATTCGAAATCGCGGTTCCGTAGCACCCCAAACGTACGCTAATCAATTCGTTACCGAGCTATTTTACAAAACGTAAATTATTGATTATAACTACTTTTACGGATTTTATCGCGTTTTATTTATTTGATTTTTAATACCCGACGTTTCGGGTGCTTTCCAGTACCCATGGTCACGGGGGACTGAGGTGACTGACGTTCCGATATCAAAGTTAACCCGGAGTACCTTCAGCTTTTTAATTATTGTCTTTGGTCCGATCTATGCAGAATGAATCTTTCTTAAAAATAAAATAAATAAATCGTGATAAAATCCGTAAAAGTAGTTATAATCAATAATTCACGTTTTGTAAAATAGCTCGGTAACGAATTGATTAGCGTACGTTTGGGGTGCTACGGAACCGCGATTTCGAATATATGTATAGTTTGTTTGGTCTATAAATAATAGTTCCGAGTCTGACTGTTCATCTATGTAAAAGGAGACAAATTCTTTTTTGTATGGAGAATGGGCTCACCATAAATTGTGGCGTAACTTAATGAAATGCGTGTCGATTTATTTCTTATGATCTACAGAATACAAAAGTAATATTCGTTTTACCGTATCTAACGGGAATACTGAGAAATTTGCAATTAAAATATGAATATCGCAATTACCTAAAAACAAAGTAAAAGCGACAAGACTAGACAATCATGTCTAGTAGTTTTATACCGTTATTATAAATTAAAATAGTGCACTGGTCAATAATTAATAGTATAAAACAAAGCGTTAGATACATTCGGTATTTAGAGATACTTTAAGATTGATGGAAAATCATTTTAGTAGTTCGTTCTACGTTACACGCATTTTTTTCATATTAAATTAGACAGAACATAAATATCCACAACTCGTTTTTTTTCAGAATGAATGATTCTGGTTAGATTTTCATAAAAAATTTAGGCCGTTAATTATAATAAATTGTTATCTTTTTTTTACGTGTAAAAATATTAAGTTACGTTACAATTTCTATTGGGTCTAAAAACGATTGTCTCCTTTTTATGTAACACGTCTCTAAAATACATGTGTAAAACCTAATGTGGTGTTGGTGGTGGGGGGGGGGGGGGGGTCCATTCAAATTCAAATTTATTTGTTTGTGAATACAGGTAATGAGACAGAATAGATCTTTTATACAACATGTAACATAATTAACGAACATCCTGGAAGTAGTTTGTTCAGTATCGTAATCGATTCCTATCATTTTTAATACAGGTAATTTTTTATCCCAAAAATAATTAAAACTACGTAAATTACAGTCACACTAAATCTGTACAGTCAAAACAAACTGAAATGGACCGTAACTTAAGGTAATAAGACTTTTAAGAGTGCAGTTTTATTTGTATTATTACTAATTCTGTCATTCAATAAAAACAAAGAAAAATGAACTTTATTTCAAGCACGTTAAAGTCTTTGCGTTCGTGGACTTGTACTGTGACCACAACATTCTTCCGGAATTAGTATAACTAATTTGATAAATAATCAGTGCATAAAAATTTATTTACTAAAAATTCAGTGTATGTATTATGATTATAACATAATATACTAATTGGGGTGTCTGAGGGTGTGCGTTCATTACGTTACATATTGTATATATGTTATATAAATATGTTCGCTGCATTCAACCTTTAGGTATACAAATATTACAGTTAGATACAATTAAATATATTACATTTCCACAATTATTTCATTTTATTATTTATATTATAATTATATAAGAAAATACAACAATGGTGTAATAATTATTTAGAATGGGATATTTACAATGATATATAGTTTAATCGAATGTCAAATAAATTATATTTTTATATCTAATTATATTCATTATAATATGCCTACTTATGCGTCACTTAAATATTCATCGATTGAGTGTAGCATTTCTCAATTAGAAATGTTTTAAATTCTTTTTTAAATTTATGAATATTTTCCATTTCATGAAACATAGATGGAACCTTATTATGGATTTTAGATAACATACCGAAAACGTTTTTTCTAAGTAAAAACTGTCTTTGATGAAATTTTATTTTTACGTAGATTGTTTGTTATTACGTAATCATTAAATATTTCAGGATTAGTTTTTACAAATGTCACAACTTCATTAATATACCTTGCGGAAAATGTCAATAACTTAAATTTTTTAAATTGTGGTTTACAGCTTTCTATACTCGATATACTTGCGATATGCATGCACACACTTTTTTTTGTGATTTAAAAATAATTCGTTCATTACATCCTATAAAAGTCCAGTGATGAATTTCAGGATTCCTCCTCTATAGGTTGACTTTTAGTAAGAATTTTGCCACAGTTGCCACGCTGGGTAGGCAGGTTAGCAAACGTAATTTTTTTTGAGTTGTTATCAGGAAGATGTTGCTGCCCATCTCCTGTTTCAGTTATCTTTTTTTTATAGGACAAGGGTGACAAACGAGCACACAGTCCACCTGATGGTAAGTGGTTGCTGTGGCCCATAGACATCTACATCTATTCTGGATTATGAATCAAAATGCAGATGCGTTGTCACCCGTGAGGACTAAGATGGAATGCCTCGTTTCCAGTAAAAAGGGTTTCCGGTTCTCTACACTCACCATACGAAACACAGCAGCATTAAGCTACTATTTGACGCTGGTATTCTGTGAGAGCGTGGTTTTAGCCCGGTCTAGCCGACCCATTCGTGCTACAACTATACTACTAATATAGTTATATTGGACAGAAGAAAGTGGTGAAAGTGGTTGAAGTAACTTTCTTCTGTTACCTCTTACGACACCCACGGGATGATATGGGGTAGTATATTCTTACAGTATATTCTTACGCGATGTTTTCCTTCACCGCCGAGCACGTGGTAAATCAACACTTAAAATTGCAATTAATAATTTATTTGGTGCCGGCGGGGATCTAACCCGATTTTCTCGCATGTGCTCAGAGAAATAACAAAAAAAAATATTTAGAAGATATGTGAAGTTTGCCAACACGCATTGTTGCAGCGCGGCGGACACTTCCTTGCCCTAAAACCCTCTCAGAAATGAGGTCCCCCTCATTTCTGAGAGGCTGGCCTGTGCCCAGCTGTGATTCGTATATAGGCTGTAACTTTACTTTACTTTACTTATATACTTACAACGCCATTACACGGTAAATGTAGTGTTAATGTCTTTTTGGGACTATCGCTTCTAAAAAACAAAACAAATAAAAAACAGCAGTGTCACCAAAAAGTGATTTTCTACAGCATATAAAAGCTTAAGAAATATGATTATGTATGTATGTGTTTCCAGCCAGAAGGCGGTTACCAGTTAAAATGTTCGAATATTCTCGAAATTACTTGGATCTTGGAGAACAACTGGTCACCCATCGCCTCATTTCATCACCGCATGAAATTCGACTTGGAGTACATAAGTATGTAAAAATTTTATATCTTCATAAAATGACACATAGATATAAAAGCTTTCCTTTAGTTGGGAGATCTTCCATCTTAGCCATCCTTTCGTTTTTTTTTATAGAAGAAAGGGCAAACGAGCATATGCTTCACCTGATGTTAAGTGACTACCGCCACCCATGATCAACCGCAACACCTGGGGAATAGCAGGTGCGTTGCCGGCCCTTTAGAAAGGAGTAAGCTCTTTTCTTGAAGGTTCCTAGGTCGTATCGGTCCGGAAAAATCGCCGGTGGTAAACTATCCCACAGAGAGGTCGTACGAGGAAGGAAATTCCTTGTGAAACATACAGTTGTGGACCGCCAAGCATCCAGATGGTGTGGATGGTATCGGGACGTTTGGCGCGTAGTGCGTTCACGAAATAATAGTGAAAATAACAGGCGAATATTCGTTGCAATTCTAATAACCATAATTTTCTATCCGTTACAACCATATTTTAATCAGATTTAGTATTATAATAACCCTATCTAATTTATGTCTTATTTAATCTTCTTTTCAATTTAATAAACGCATCGGTATCGGTATAGGTAGGAAAAAACACCTCTGCATACCCTGATTGTGGGCCCTTAATGTGCAAACGTAATACTCGTCCGGAAAATTACATACTTAGCTCAGAAGAAGTAATATTGCGCACAGCTAAACAACTCCTTCAATTCATTGAAAATTTAGGGCTTAGCAGTGAACTATAATCATAGCAGCGACTACAATAGATCTTATTGGCATAAGATATCCGAATAGCTGAATAATGATCTGAATAGTGTATTAGTATCACCGATATTTTCATATGGATATAGGTTTTATTTATAGAATATGGATAATAAACCAGCACACAGTCCACCTGATGGGAGTGGATGCTATGGCTGATTGACATCTACATCTATCCTCGATTAAAAATCACAATGCAGACGCATTATAACCCTTGAGGACCAATATGGATGCCTCCTTACCAGTAAAAAGTGGTCTTCGCTTGTCCACAGTCATCATACGAAACATAGCGGCCTTAAGCTGTTATTTTAAGCTGGTATTTTGTGAGAGCTTGGGTCTACCGTTTTAATTTCAAACTTTTAATAAAAAATATTTGTTTTTATTTTTTGTAAAATATCAGTGTCATAAGAGTTCTACTCCGTTACATGTTACACCATATTTTTTTTTCAGACTGTAAAAAAGGTCATATATATATATATATATATATATATATATATATATATATATATATATATATATATATATATATATATATATATATACTTCAGTTCTACAAAAAAGTGTGAATAAACAAACAAGTATTTTAATTTGTTAATGTGTTTTTATTTCTTTTTTAGATGAATCGTATATAAAGACAGTAGCTCAAGCACACAAACAACTGTCCAATCCAAAGCTTGACACGGATGAGAGGACGTTATTGTTGGCTAAAATCATCAGCACCTGCTTAGAAGCCCAAGGGCTGAATCACAGTGTACAAGAAAGCACAGAATCCGAGTCGGAGACAGTAAGAATAGAGAAAAGACGCAAGAGCTTAGACAAAGAACCGGAAATGCCGGTACCAAAGAAAAAGAAAGAGGATTGTGAAGTGATGGCGCCACCAAAAGCACTCCCCCAAAAAGCCTAAAGGCAAAGAAAATGTAGCGGAAAATCACAAAACCAGCAAAACAGGGAAAAGAGTGAACAGTGAAATTGGTGATAATATTGAAGGAAAGAAAGCAAAGAATAATATTCCTGAGAAAGTATTAGAACCTAAGAATATAGTTAGTCACAAGAGAACTCCAAATGAAACAGAACATACAAAGGTCAATAATGATATGCGTAAAAACAAAAAGTCCGATAATTTAACTAAAGACAGAGAGTTAAAAGAAACTGATAACGAAAATGTCAAAAATCCTAATAAAATGGAGAGGGAAAATAATAATATCGCTAAACGTAGTCAGAAAGAAATAGAATCAAAAAGACCTGCTAACACTCAAAATCAAAGTAAGGAAAAAGAGGGCAAACCTAAGAACTTTAACGAAGGAAATAAAAAACCGGAAAAAAGGTAAGAAATTAATTTCTGTTGAATGTATTATTCCTAAAAAAGACGATACTAACAGAGAAAGATCTGGCAACACCGTGCAATCAACAAACTTAGCGGATAAGTTAAATATGAAAACCGTCAAAGAAAATGTACATACAAGTACCAAAGGTAAACAAGTTTTAGAACAAACCGAAGTAAAACATAAGACCGATAAACCTAAAAATAAAAATACGCTTCAAGGTAACGATGATAATAAAAAAGAAAAAAATGTGGCCAAGGACAAAATTGTATCCAAACCTGTTAAAAATATCGCAAATGATAAAGTTCAGATGTTTAATAAAACGAAATCCTTAAAAGAAACCGTTGTGGAGAAACCTAAGAACATTGAAAACCAACCAATCAATGGTGGCAAGGAAGCTACCACAAAACATCATACATTATCTGGCAACACAGTAAATGCAAAAGGTTTAAGAAACCATCAAAATAAACCAAAAGCTTCTATTACAAAATCAATGAATAGCAGGTTCATCAAAGCTCCCAAATTTGATAAACGTAATCCTAATTTGCAGACGTCGTCGAAAATACCGCAAACCACCAAGAAGTCGTCGAGCGCCGAGAATATACTGAAGAAGAATCCTTTGAGGATCAGTCCCAGTAAGTATCTTCATCATTCTAAGCACCACACTCTTGAAATGGGCCACTGTTTGGTTACCTCCACTAGCATTTTCTACTATATTGCAAACAAACATCCAGACCCAGAAATATAATTTTGTAGGCCATACAAATACTTTTTCCGTGCGAGATTTAAACCAAGGACAAAAGACATTTAATTGTATTGCATTGTAGTAGTAATAGACCGGACATCAGCAGCAAAATTGTCGTCTCTAACTTTTGTCCTATAGGATATATCTCCGATATTTGTCATTTAGTGTAAGTGACATCACCGAAAGGTCAAGACGCAATCGTTTCATAAATTTAAAAAATATTTTTAAAGAAAATATGCCCGGTTGTGTATTAAGGTAGAGTAAGTCACGATATGGAGCAAAAAATGAACATGATTTCGGTTTATTATCCTAAGAATAATGTATATATTTACTAAATAATCTTTAAATTTTATTATTTCTGGCAGATTGTTCTAGAAGAAAGAAAAATTATTGTAATAAGTGTCTGTCTGTTATCCAGTATCGTCACTATTTATTTACAAATATGTTAGTAATTGACGACGTGCCTAAAACCGATTTTCACCTTATATTTAGAAGCGTCACCTAATGGGAAATAGATAAAATGTTTTCTAAATAAATATTCAGCTATTTTTCGCTAGAGGGCTTAAAACACGCGCGTGCTCTCAGTTTTTGTATGAAAATGTTCGCAATGTCCGCTCTATGGTATATATATATATATTTAAATCTCTTTGCCCGGGACCCTCACGCTTAGCATACAACTAATCCGTCATCGGCCGAAGTTTGCTCGGGCGATGACGGCCGAACTCGGACGATCGAATCAAACACTTGTAAAACAAAGAGAGCGCGTACATAAACACGACCGTCATCGTCCGATAACGCACGGAAACGGCCGATCGACCGTCGAGTCCGAACTTGTAGAGATTTCTACAGTGCAAATTGAGTGTATTTATAGTTTAATTTAATCTGTGGCCGTAGAAGGAAAATGGGAGATCTCCCGCCGGGCAAGGTGTTCTGCCCGGGGAGCGGCCAACACTCCGTGTGATAGTTCGGAGATGTTCTATATATACTGTTTATGATTCGGAATTTTGATAGCGTGATTTAGGCTTCTGTGTGTTTTGCTTGCGGCGTGACAACAGCGCCGCCACAAATCATTTTGTCTTTATTCTGTTGTTTCTGTCAGTGTTATCTACCTAAACGACTATGGATACTGAAAATAGAAATATATAAAAGAATACCGGCAATGTTCAATGTCGGCACAAGTAGTACACTGTTGCAGTGTAAGCACATACACGTGTGAGTTACTCGTCCGGGTCCGCCATCGGCCGACAAAATCGGTGTTGGTGTAAATAGAACGGGGGGAGTGGGCGGAGCTCGTGTAGCCATTAAAATATCACTAACATGTCAATTCACACATATAAATGTCAACACGAGATGTGTTTTGACGTTACAATCGTTTCCCAATTTCGCATGCAAATTATTTAGAAATTGCCAAATTGCACCCTATTTATAAATAAATATGTATTAAATTTAAACGATTTTTTAAATGATGATCTTGAACATTAAACTGTCAACACAGCGAATCGGGTTTGTAGTAGTGATAATATGACGTAATTGCTTGTATGTGTGCTCTCGGCGTCGCCGAGCCTCGTACAAAATGAGGTTGACAGCCATTCTATTGTGTATTACTGTATTCTATGGGTGTAAACGTACTGTAAGAGCTGCAACTCATTGCTATTCTACTGTGCCACGGACCCGTCAAATGAGTATAAATTTAATTTAATGCAGAGTAGAGAATTTATATCCCTTCTCGTCCCGCGGGAATCGTCAAAATCTTATACTTTTGTTCTAAATTGGCTTTTACAAAATACTTTTTTTAAGTCAAACGCTACGCCATTACTTTAACAAGTGCTTACTGCAAGGAGACTTTGTGAGAAAAAGCGGCAACAAACTCACAACTACATTGTTTTTCTCACAATGGTTACAATTTAACCTTATAAAATAAATACATAAGTAGAAAAGTTTAACCCCTCAGTCCCCTTAAAATTCCTGTGATGTGTGTTCCTTAAAATATTTGTGAAGGCAACAAGTTAATTAAATCAAATATCATATATTAATCACAAAATCAAATGATTTTGTGATTAATATGAGACCAATTAGATTAAAAATTAAAGATACATGAGGGAAAGCTAAAAACTCACAGAATACCAGCGTCAAATAGTAGCTTAATGCTGCTGTGTTTCGTATGGTAAGTGTAGAGAACCGGAGACCTTCTATACTGCAAATAAGGCATTCCATCTTAGTCCTCACGGGTGACAACGCAACTGCATTTTGATTCGTAATCGAAGATAGATGTAGATGTCTATGGGTCACAGCAATCACTTACCATCAGGTGGACTGTGTGCTCGTTTGTCACCCTATCCTATAAAAAAAATGCAAGCAACGCCGTGTTAGGCCATCCAGGTATGGCCTAACACGGCGTTGCTTGCATTTTTTTTGCCCTGGGGCACACAAGAATTTGGGACCCTTTTTGGAGATGAAAAAAAGCGAATGACAAAAACATTTTTCTGCTATGATCTTATATTTATTATAGTTAATTGGTAAAAATCAAATAATGTGTCATTAACCTTTTGAGCGCCACGCCAAAAACTCACTACCGTGTCCTGTACGCCAAAGCGAAAAGTAAACAAAAATACCTACGAAAAAAACAATGCTGCCAAGAGTTGATATATCGATAACACTAAATAACTTGTTTTTGTTGGTTTTTTATACAATAAATGAGTCTTTATAATCGGATATGTTTTATTTAATCTTGTGCTGTCTTCCACTCTTTTTATATATGTACTTTGTACATAAATAAAAAACAAACAATAACAATAAAATAGTAGTAAACCACAACACTACTCTCCGTCGTGATGACGTCACTGTCACGACTGGACGACAACGGCGTAGCTGACCTTTCTTTTTGAAACTTTCTTAGAGATGTAGCCGTGTCGCACGTTGTGTATCGATTTCAAAATCGATGTAACCAAAATATACAGACATCTATTCAAAATATTTTATGGCAAGGCGTAGGCCAAGTGAATCACAGAAGAAAAGTCTTACGCTCTTATGATAAAGGGGGTTTCATATGATACTGATGTTGCTAAATGATTTTGAGATTGAGAAAGAAAATCGCACAACACAAAATGAAAATTGCTCTTCATACCTTAAGTAAAGAAAACACATTTATTATTTGTAATTTTATATTATTAAATAGAAAAGGTACGTAATTATTCACTAATCAACAACTGTATATAGGTAATTATTCGCACTAGAAAAATCAGTCTTATAATATTAAAATCTTGGTCATGGAATAAAAAAATCAGTACTTATTACAGAAATCAACAAAGGGTACATAATTATTCAACAATTGTAAATAATTATTTGCACTAGGTCTAGTCATAAAATATTAAAATCTTGGTCTTTAACTCAATCAGTACTTAATATAGAAAACAATTAAAAATATTAATAAATTATAGGTAATATTAGTCTTAAAATAATAAAAATCTTATGGAATAATAAAACATAAATGTTTAGCTGGCCAAAGCAAATTTTCTAACGTGGTAGAGCCATGCTGCAGTTATATTACGGGAGTTAGTAGTTGTAGCACGAATGGGTCGGCTCAACCGGGGAAGAACCACGCTCTCACGGAATATCGGCATCAAATAGTAGCTTAATGCTGCTGTGTTTCGTATGGTAAGTGTAGAGAACCGGAGACCCTCTTTACTGGAAACGAGGCATTCCATCTAAGTCCTCACGGGTGAGAGCGCATCTGCATTTTGATTCGTAATCGAGGATAGATGTAAATGTCTATGGGCCACAGCAACCACTTACCATCAGGTGGACTGTGTGCTCGTTTATTACCCTATGCTATAAAAAAAGAAATTAACCGTAAAAAGACTATAAAGTGTATTCCTACCTCATTGAGGTAGAGTTAATCGAAAACGAAAAACTTTGGTTTCACGATAATTTTAAATTTCCGAAAATTCATCATCGTCGACGCTTTCCAAAATCCGAATGAGTTCTGAGGAATCGTTCATGTTGCACTGCACTAATTTTCCCGCTAATCGCTTATGACGTCATCAGTGTGTCGTCTATACTTGACCACGGCGCCCAGTGAACTGATTTTCGATGTCGCGCTAAGAATGCGCCAGAGTTGAGATATTAGATTTATTATGCGAAGATAATTTGTTAATTTTTTTTTAATTCATGTAGCTAATTATAGTTTTATATTTCTAACCTTTTGTTTTATTTAAATATCAATAATAATAGAAAAAAATAACACGTTTGAGCTTAATTTTGAATAGTTTTCAATAAATTTATGGCTAACGCATTACAACACTAGCGGTCTAACATAGACGACTTTGGCGTGCTGGACATAGTATTTGCTTAGATAAAAATCCATTTTTTTTAGTTCAATGTTTCTTAGTAATTGTGGCTCTAGAAGACTTGTTTTTTATACTCACATGTTGCTGGGTTATTCTTTTTTGAGGGGTGTAGAATTAAAATACCAGTAATAATTTTCCAATGTCTATATTTCATATTTTTGTGGGCCGGGTTTTTTGTCATCTATAGACGTCGTTGGCGCTCAGGGCACGCGGGTGCTGGTCACGTATAGACGACTTTGGCGCTCAAAAGGTTAATGACCGATCCACGCCACCAGGGCGGCGCCACTTTACAATGAGCTAAAATATTTGACAGGTTATTTTTAATAGTATATGGTAACAAATGAGCACACAGTCCACCTGATGGTAAGTGGTTGCTGTGGCCCATAGACATATACATATATCCTCGATTACAAATCAAAATGCAGATGCGTTGTCAGCCGTGAGGACTAAGATGGAATGCCGCGTTTCCAGTGTAAAGGGTCCGGTCTTTACACTCACCATACGAAACACAGCAGCGTTAAGTTACTATTTCACGCTGGTATTCTGTGAGAGCGTGGTCCTTCCACGATCGAGAGCCGACCCATTCGTGCTTCAACTATACTAATAATATAACTGCAGCATGGCTCTACCATGTATAAAGCCGAAAGATTTTATAGCGGGGACGATAATTTCTTAGGAAAATGTAAACTTTAATATTTCTTTACTAAATTTTCTTTTAAAAAAGAACATATACTATAACAACATCAATACGTGTATTCTTTTTATATATTACATTAAAATTTAGGCTTTAATTGTCGGCTTTAATTTTTTAATTAATTAGGCTAAAATAATATTATAAGTAGCCGAAAATTAAAAAAAAAAAACCAGGCTATACACTAGCTATAAGCGAATAAGGCCGATGGCCCTAACATCACGGGGGCCCCTGTGACGATACACACTGGGCCCTGGGCACGGGCCCCGTGTGCCCCTATGGTAAAGACGGTACTGCATGCAAGGTGTTCCAGGGACAGCCCACGCTCAGTGTGTTAATTTGGAGTTCTATGTATAGCGATATAGTTTCGCAACTTTCATAGCACGATTTAGAATTCAGTGCGTTTCTCTTGTAGCGCGATGACAGTGCTGCCACAAATGTCTTGGATGCGCTTTAAATTTATGCAAAAGCAAGGCAGTGGACATGTATCAATCATTAATTTCTCGTGACCCAATCATTCTAGTACGCGTCACGCGTACCGGTACATTCAGGTTGATCTTTCAAATAGATAATGTCGGGCTGTACCCTACACTAAAAACTGCATTGTTTTGAAAACAATGCATTCAGATCATTCGGGATTCGGTCGGTTTTCCTTTCATTCACAATTTATACCAATCATGAGCTAAAAATGTTCTGTCCATTGTTCAAATTCAAATTCAATTTGATTATTGCATGTCACATTACAAATTTTTTAGTGATTGGTTGTACCGGAACATTCAAAAACATATGAATGAACTATTAATACTAAGTATACTTTCATTAAGTGTACCAGCTCAAACGAAAGAATCATTCATAATTGCCACATGTCTACAAGCCTTGTTATATATAGTTATACCCATGACGTGACTTAAGGCACCTATGAGGCGATTTACAAAATGTACAGTCTAACTGCCACCAGAGTTGTTTGGGACATAGAATACTATAATACATACGTAATAGAACGGGGGAGTGGGCGGAGCCCGCGTAGCCAATAAAATGTCACTAACACGTCAATTCACACATATAAATGTAAACACGAGATGTGTTTTGACGTTACAATCGTTTCCAAATTTCGCATGCAAGTTATTTCAAAATTGCCAAATTGCACCCTATTTACAAATAAATATGTATTAAAATCCGTCTGTCAACACAGCGAATCGGGTTTGTAGTAGTGATTAACTGATAATACGACGTAATTGCTTGTATGTGTGCTCCCGGCGACGCCTATCCTCGTAAAAAATAAGGTTGACAGCCATTCTATTGTGTATTATAGTATTCTTTTGGGGTGTAATCCTCAACTTTAAATGAATAGAGAACGGAGAATGGTTAGACAGTCAGGAAGTTTAATATCATTTTTTTACTAGATTTCTAACGAGGTTTTATCAATTTTCGATATTAAAAAAAAAGAACTTCCCCCCGTGACCATGGGACAAACGTCGGGAATTAAAAATAAGTAAAATCAGTTAAATAAACGCGATAGAATCCGTAAATTTAGTTTTATTCAAAAAAGAACTTCGGATAAAATATAGCATTGATCACCACCATTGCATCTATCTGTTAGTGAAGTCCATCACAATCGGTTCAGCCAATTCAAGGATTAGGCTGCACAGACAGAGGAATATTTAAAAAAAATATTCATGTTAATGGCATGCTTATAACTCTGAGCTCAATAATAGGCACATGGAGGTTAGAGGAACAGAAGGACGATCGCTGTATAAAATAGTGTCCCAGAAATATGGACAAAATAAGAGGCGCTGCGATCGCTAAGTTGTTAAATATAAATTATTACACATAAATTATTAATTATTATTGATTTATTATTATTTTTTATAATATTTCATCAGTTTTTAATGTTTCTTTTTGTCAGAAATTAAAAAAATTACTTCGCAGACACTACTTACCGACGGCAGCACGGATATAAATAATACAAAATTTCAGGGACAGGGGGGGCTTTGCGTTTGCACGTAGCGATCGTTCTCCTGTTCTCTAACCTCCATGAATAGACAGGTGTTGACAGACACTTTAATTTTATTTATATGTATAGATGTATATGTGGCGGCGCTGGCGTCGCGCCACAACCGAGAAACACATCGAAGCCTAAATCGTGCTATCAAAGTTCCGAATCAAAAACAGTATACATAGAATAGCTCCGAACCATCACACGAAGCGTTGGCCGCTCCCCGGGCAGAACACCTTGCCTGGCGGGAGATCTCCCCTTTTACTTTCACGACCACATATACATTTTGACATGATGTAGCTTGACTCGATTTTATAATATGCAAGCGAGTGTACCTGGGTTCTAAGTTAATACCGACTTAAGTGTTATTTAAATTAAACAAACAAAAATATTATGTTCCAGGAAAGAACCTAACAAAATTCAACACAATGTCATCTCTAAACAGCAGCATCTGGAGCAGTCGGAGCAGTACAAGAATAGTTAACACGAATATACCAAGTTAGTTCTTATTTTTTTTTTATAACACACTGTAATATAGCATTACCCCATGGAGTCCTGAGGGTGTTATAAGTTTTCTTCCCGTTATTGTGGGATATGGCAAGTTTTATGTGGTTATCAGCGTCTTCCGACCAAAAGTTGTATGATTACATCATATTCGCCATGCTTTCACGTATCTCGTTTGATGAGTGTAGAGAACTGGAGACACATTTTACTGAAAACGAAGCATTCTCAGTCCTCAGGTGTGACAACAGGTCTGCATTTTCATTGCTAATCAAGTATAGAAGTAGATTTCTGTCGGTCACAGCATCCACTTACCATCAGGTGAACCGCATGCTCGTTTGCCCCCTCTTCTATATATAAAAAAAGATGTGTATTACCGTTGTAAAAAGGACTGTAGTGAGAAAGCAGATATAATTGTATATCTGCTTTCTCACTACAATACTTTTTATTTTTAGTTGTTATTATGAAAACGTTGCTGCCCTTTTTTTTTTTTGCTTTTTTTTTAAAGATAATTAACAATGCTATAAACATTACTAATACTCCTCTTAACCACTCGCGGTAAGCTTAAATGCTGCCCTTCTCCTGGTTTTTATCTCTGTCGCTTCTTACTACACCCATAGGACGATATTTTAGTTTAGTTTAGTTTACGACGGGCTGTTTTCCGCAACTCCACGTCTAAGCGCGTATTTTGCGTGTGGGCAGGAATAATGTGATTATTCGAGTCATGATATCTCCCCGAAGAAGCTCAGCAGTCCCTTGATGTTGCAAGCAACTTCGGGGAGCGATCCCGGCGCGCTCAGATGTTTAGCCCTGTATGAAGCGACTTCTGGATATGTCAGCAACACGTGAGCCGCCGTGCATGCCCTGCACAGGGGGCTATCAGTAACACCTATGGTAAACAAATGTTTGTTAAGAGAGCCATGTCCTGTGATAGCACTTGTTACTATCCTGATCTGTGGCTTGTTCAGGACGATATTATGGTGTAGTGAATATTTTAACACCGCCGCTCGTACAAGGGAATATGTCTATTGCTTGCCGGTACTCAATTTCAGTAAAATTGTAATCAAATTGCTTAATTTTCCAGGATTAGTGAAAAAGCCCATATCGAAGACAAAGTCATAATGGAAAAGATCCTATGTAAAAAAATATGTATTTCGTCAGGTGTGATGTGTGAGAAGACTTAACCCACCTTTTATATGATTTGTAAGTATGTATTGTTATTTAAGATTTTTAATTAAATAAAAAGTTAAAGTATATTATTTAATACTGTCTTTTATTTTAAAACCTTATAAGTGAGTGTAGAGATCTTGAGATCCTTTTTACTAGCAACGAGGCATTCCATCTTAGTTCTCAGGGGTGAAAACACATCTGCGTTTTGATTCTTAGTCGAGGTTTAATGTAGATGTCTATGGACCACAGCATCACCTTACCATCAGTTGGAGTGTGTGCTCGTTTTTCACCTTTATCGTCACCGTCACCCTTATTCTATTTAAAATAGCCATCTCGATTAAACTCATGACGCCATACATACGATGTTGCGTAGTGGCGGTCTTTTGTTCTTCCTTGTGAAATCGACTACCACCAGCGATTTTTCTGGACCGATACGGCTTAGGGGCCTTCAAGGAAAGAGTTTACTCTTTTTAAAAGGCCGACAAGGCATCTGCTATTCCCCTGGTGTTTACAGTTGTTTATGGACTGCGGTGTTTACGATCAGGTAAACCGCATGCTCGTTTGTCCCCTCTTATATAAAATAATTTTTATGAACGTGGTAGAGCCATGCTGCAGCTATTTGATGGTTGTAACACGAATGAGTCAGCTCGACCGGGGAAGGACCACGCTCTCACAGAATACCAGCGTAAAATAACAGCTTAATGTTGCTGTTTCGTATGGTGAATGTAGAGATCCGGAGAGCCTTTTCAATGGAAACGAGGCATTCCATCTTAGTCCTCAGGGATGACAAAACTTTTATCGAGGATTGATGTAGATGTCTATAGAGACACATTAGACATATTATTATTATAGCACTGAATCAAGAATGTTAAGGTCACGCTAAAGCGCATTAGTAGAAGATGACAGACTCGTAGGTGGGATGCGATCTCTAAGCGTGGAAGAAGCGTTGCCTCCACCCAGATACCAAAACCCATTAGTTCCACTCAGCTTACACCAGACCAAAGGAAGGAACGTCCGCTTCGTGAACGATAGGGATGTCTAGGGAGGCAGGCAGGATATAAACCAGTCAATTCCACCGTGGTAGAGCCATGCAGCAGCTATATTAGTAGTATAGTTTTGCACGAAGAGGTCAGCTCGACCGGGGAAATACCATGCTCTCTCTGAATACCAGCGTAAAATAGCAGCTTAATGCTTCTGTGTTTCGTATGGTGAGTGTGGAGAACCGGGGACCTCTTTACTGGACACAAGGCATTCCATTTTAGTTCTCATGTGTGACAACGCATCTGCATTTTGATTCGTGGTCAAGGTACTAGTAATGTACGTGTCTAAGGGCCATAGCAACTACTTAACATCAGGTGGTCTGTGTGCTCGTTTGCTTACTTATTCTATAAATTATAAAGGTGCACTCTCTAAATTTTTAATGTCGTTATTTTTACCACACATTTTACTTATAAGCCGGTGTGGTGTGGCCACAGGCTGCCCCTTCGAATCAGAGCAATCTCGCCCGATCGCCCGTTGGAAGTGTCGACCTTGGTGGATGGAATCTCACTCTCAGACTTGCTTAACCTCTTAAGCCCCTAGCGGCCTTATGAGACCGCGGCCATATTCCGTCAAATCCCTAGCGGTCTCATGAGGTCACACCCACCCACAGCACTTTAACCCATAAAAACTTATATATAGAGACTACTTTTATATAAAGAAGTTGGCATTATACAGTGTGTCTGGTCACGACCTAGCGATAATTTAAGGTTACAAAATATACCTAATTTCATCGACGAAAACACCCATATATGGGGGTCTTTCCTCCTGTCGGAATGGCCGCCATTTTTTTTATTATTGTAGATGTCTCTGCCAAAAGATGCAGATTTCTCTGGACAGAAAGGTACTACAGATGTAAAAAAAATGTTATTTAAAGGGTAAAAATAGCATCTATCTAATAAAAATAAACATCATGGAAAGTTTTCCCTCCAAAATATCTTAAAGCATTTACAATGCTAATTTAAGTAAAAAAATTGACTATTTTTTATTTTTCTTAACATACTTCAAAAACTAGCACATTGATACTAAATAGATAATAGATGTATCTACACTAATATTATAAAGAGGAAAACTTTGTTTGTTTGTTTGCTTGTTTGATTGTAATGAATAGGCTCATAAACTACTGGACCGATTTTAAAAATTCTTTCACCATTCGAAAGCTACATTATCCACGAGTAATATAGGCTATATTTAATTTTGAACAAAAATAGGGTTCCGTAAGATATTAGGGTTTTTCGGACACAAGGTGTAAAAAATGAACCAAAAAAGTTACTTATTTTGCGTACCCTGCCTAAACTATTAAAGATAGAACCATAAAATGTTCTAAGTAATTGTAGATCTTATAAATATCTATCACTAAGTACAGTTAATGTAGATAATATTTGGTCTTTGAATGATTAAAATTGGAAGTTTGGTTCTGAAGTTATAGCGAAATTAAAATATTACGATTTCTGCTGCACGGCCCGTTGCGAAGTAGGCGTTACCAAGGCCCGGTGAGCGTGTGGGAGGGGGAGTTTAGATCTATGAGTAAGGTACCCGCGTGGCTCAGTCGCGCGTTCGGCTCCCTACGCAGCGGTCGTGCGTGAAGTCTAATAATTTTCGTGCGATTTTTTTTAGGTTTCGTTCTTTAAACTACACCTACGCAAAAGTTCTTCTCAGAGCTAAACAACAGTTCTTCTTGGAGCTAAACAACAGTTCTTCTTAGAGCTAAACAACAGTTCTTCTTAGAGCTAAACAACAGTTCTTCTTAGAGCTAAACAACAGTTCTTTTCAGGGCTAACCAACAGTTCTTTTCAGGGCTTACCAACAGTTCTTTTCAGGGCTAACCAACAGTTCTTTTTAGAGCTAGAATATTACACGCTAATAACATTATCTTAAACATTTGAAAATGCCTAAGAGAGCCAGGTCTCAACTTTCTAAACATAGTTCTCAAGCACGGGCAGCAAAAATACGTCGTATGGGAGAATCTTCACCTGAACGTTCACAACGCCTTGCTGAACAAAATCAGAGAAACTCTCAGGTACGCGCACGAGAGTCGAGTGTCGAATGTTCACAACGCCTTGCAAAACAAAATCTGAGAACCTCTGAGTTACGTGCACGAGAGTCGAGGCTGGAGCGTTCCCAACGTCTTCATGAACAAAATGTAAGGACCTCTGACTTACGCGAACGAGAGTCGAGTGTCGAGCGTTCGCAACGCCTTGCCGTACAAAGCTTGAGAACCTCTGAGCTACGCGCTCAAGAGTCGAGCCTGGAGCGTTCCCAACGTCTTCATGAACAAAATATAAGGACCTCTCAGTTGCGCGAAAGAGAGTCGAGTGTCGAGCGTTTGCAGCGACTTAGAGCTCAGGCAGAGAGACAGCAGTTGTCCACAAATAGAGTTCGCAATCGAATTTTAGCTAACAGCAACAGACTGGCTTTCAGATATGATCCGCAGTTTGATTATGCACAACAAGCGTCCGTCCAAATCGGAGTCATGAATAAGATCTGCTCTAACTGCTCTGCCAAGAAATGGGCGGACGAACCTAATGGTATTTGCTGTGCTTCAGGTAAAGTTTTTCTTCCTAACCTGCAGGAGCCGCCACAACCACTAAAAAATATTTTGACTAATAACCATCCATTATCTGGGCATTTTTTAACAAACATACGTAAATACAATAGTCTTTTTCAAATGACTTCGTTTGGCGCAAAAGAAATCAGGGAAGGAAATTTTATGCCCACTTTTAAAATTGAAGGACAAGTGTATCATCTAATTGGTAGCCTTTTACCACCATCAGGCCAAAACCCACAGTTCTTGCAAATATATTTTATTTCGGATGCAGACCAGTTATCGTTGCGATCACGCATCGCACCAACCTTAAAAATGGATTTAATTCACGAATTACAGACCGCTTTAAATAATCATAACGTGTACATACGAAGTTTTAAACAAAACTTAGAACTTAACTCCTCAGATAATTTAAAGTTAATTATTCATTCAGATCGCACTCCACAGGCAGCACACAGAGGCAGATATAATGCTCCTACTGTAAACGAGGTAGCTGTTCTCTTGGTCGATGAAGACAAAGGTCCCAGGGATATAGTCTTACACGGTAGAGACGGGCAGCTCAAAAGAGTTTCTGAGCTACATCGGTCCTATGATCCACTACAGTATCCTATAATGTTTGTGACAGGAGAAGACGGTTATTATTTGACTATCCCTCAGCAGGTTTCTGAGCGTAATAAAACTGTTTCGTGTATGCAATTTTATGCATTTAGATTAATGATTAGAACTAACTCTTTTAATCTGTTACATTATTACAGAGACTTATTTAGTCAATATTGTGTTGACATGATGGCGAAAATGATATCGGAAAGATTAAATTATATTTGTCGGAATCAACAGAGACTGAGGGCTGATGACTACATTCATCTCAGAGATGCCTTAAATCATGACGCAAATGATGACGCATCAAATATCGCTCAACATGTCATATTGCCATCGTCATTTACGGGTTCTCTGCGTTTCATGCACGATAAAACGCAGGACGCGATGACGTACGTTCGAAATTATGGTAGACCTGACTTATTTGTCACTTTTACATGTAACCCCGAATGGCCTGAAATAAAAGCCGAGCTGCTACCAGGACAACGGTCTTTCGACCGTCATGACATAATTTCACGTGTATTTCATTTAAAGATGAAGAAATTCATCAAATTATTTGTCAAAGAACAGATATTCGGTAAAGTAAAATGTTATATGGCAAGTGTGGAGTGGCAAAAGCGCGGTTTACCTCATTGTCATTTGCTGTTCTGGCTAGAAACTAAAATACAACCAGATGAGATCGACAGTGTCATAGTTGCGGAGCTACCCGATCAACAAATTGATCCGGTACTACACGACATTATAACTAAAAATATGGTACATGGACCCTGCG